TATATATATGTATTTTTTTTCATCCTAAAGAAGCCCCTCTAACATTCCTTGTAATACTGGTTTGGTGACAATGAACTCCTTTAGTTTTTTCTTGCCTGGAAAGCTCTTTATCTGTCCTTCGATTCTAAATGATAGCTTTGCTGGGTAGAGCAATCTTGGTTGTAGGTCCTTGCTTTTTATCACGTTGAGTATTTTGTGCCAATACCTTCTGGTCTGCAAAGTTTCTGTTGAGAAATCAGATGACAATCTTATAGGAGCTCCCTTATAAGTTACCAGTTGCCTTTCTCTTGATGCTTTTAGGAGTCTCGCTTTGTCTTTAACCTTTGACCTTCTCATTATAATGTGTCTTGGTGTGGGCCTATTTGGGTTCCTCTTGTTCGGGACTCTCTTCACTTCCTGGATTTGTGCGTTTATTTTCTTCACCAGGTTAGAAAGGTTTTCAGTCATTATTTCTTCAAATAATTTCTCAATCCCTTGCTTTCTCTCTTTTCCTTCTGGTACCTCTATGATGCGAACGTTGTTACACTTGATGTTGTCCCAGACGTCTCTTAAACTATTTTCATTTTTTTGGATTCTTTTTTCTTGTTGCTTTTCTAATTGGGTGTTTTCTGCTATCCTGTCTTCCAAATCATTGATTTTATCCTCTGCTTCATCTAGCCTGCTGGTAATTCCTCCTAGTGCATTCTTCATTTCAGTTATTATATCCTTCACTTCTGATGTTTCTTTTTAATGTCTCTATGTCATTTTTTTTTTTTTTTAGCTGAGCCATCCTGCCACCTGTTGGCAGCTCAGCGACTGCTCAGCTCAGGCTGACTCGAACCGCTGTTGCTCAGAGCTCAAACTCTTGAGTGAGCTCTTAACCAACTAAGCCACTCAGCCGGCCCTCTATGTCATTTTTTATGCTTGCTATTTCTCTGTTGAAGTTCTCACTAAGTTCTTTGAGTATCCTTGTAACCACTGTTTTGAACTCTGTATCTGGTAGGTTACTTGCCTCCATTTTGTTTACTTGTTTTTCTGGCGTTTTCTCCTGTTTTTTCATTTCTGTGTATTTCTTTGTTTCTTCATTTTGGCTGCCTCTCTGTTTCTTTCTATATATTAAGTAGATTGGCTATGTTCCCCAGTCTTGGCCAGGTGGCATTATGTAGTAGGTGCCCTGTGGTGCTCAGTGACACAGTCTTCCTGTTCACCTGCACTGGGTGCTCCCTTGTGGGGTTGTGTGTGTGCTCCTGTTATAGTTGAGCCTTGGTTGTTGTTGGCATGTGAGTGTGTGGTATTGACCTTCAGGCTGATTGGCTGTGGTGTTTGGCCACATCCACAGCTTATAGGCTGCTGTACAGGGGGCTTACCCCACTGAGTGGGACTTGTCACAGAGGGCTTTGGTAGCTGTTGAGACCTCCCTTTGGGTGTAATGCTTATGGGGCTATTGGGTGGTGCTCTGTTGTGGTCTGAAGCCAACCTCCAAATATATTAGTTCTGGGGCCTCTTGGGAGGGGCTTCAGTGCAGGCCAAGGTCAGCCACTGCCTGTGACAGGCTGCAGGGTATCTGGTAGTAGCTACAAAGTGATCTGCCATTGTTTGCAGCCTGTCCTGGACCTGGAAGCGTGTGGGAGAGGCCATGCTGTGAACTGAGGACAGCTGCCACCAGTACTGGGCCTGGGATAGCTCCACACAAAGCCAGGACACCCGAAAGCCTAGTGCCACTGCTGGCTCCCTTAAGGTTAAGCCACTGCTAACGCCTTGTGCAGTACACGATTGGGTGAGGCAGGGTCTCAGGGAGTCACTAGCGTGGGAAAAATGGTGGTCACCAGATTAATGTAAATTCTGGTTTGGTGCCAATGCTGAGCCTGGAATGACTCAGCAAAAGTCTAAGAGCATCTGCTGTCCACCTGGGGCCTGCCAGACTCCGATAGTTTTCCAAGAAAGAATGCAATGTGGGCGGGGTTGGCAGCTCGTGGAGAAAGTGACTCCAGTGGTGGGACAGTTGGGTGGGACAGGGTTCCAGTGAGTCAGCAGGGCAGAGTAGCAGAACTCACCAGGCCAATTAGATTCAGATTTGGCCAGAGGGGGTGGGCTGAACACAGGAAAGATGGTGCCTCCTGCCGGGGCTCCATGAAAGGTGGATCTCTCATCAGGAAAATGCTGACTGTCCTCCAGTTCTTGCCCCAAGGCCACACAATTCAGTCTGCATCCCCCATATGTCTCTGAGGCTCCCTGAGTCACCTTCTCTCCGTTGGAGCCCAAGGTTAGTGCCTGGAAGTGAGAGAGTCTGTGCGAGGTCCTTTAAGAGGATGCCTGTATTTCCTGCCGCCTTCCGTCCCACTTGGATGCGTGGAATCCCACTGTTTTTCATGGCTAGATGTTGTGGGCTCCTCTTCCGGGCACCAGTACTCTCAGATGGGGAGGTCAGTGTGAGGCTGGGGTCCCTTGCTTCTCTGGGGGAACAACTGCGGCCGAAATATCCCTCCTGGTTCTCAACTGCCACACAGAGGTTTGGATTTAGGCAGTTCCGTGTCTCTGCACCTCCTATCCGTATTGATGTGGTTTCTTCTTCATATACTTAGTTATAAAATTTCTGTTCAACCAGACTCAGACAGTTCTCCAGGTTGATTGTTCTATAATTTAGCTGTAATTTTAATGTGTGCATGGAAGAAAGCAGGCACAGTATTTATCTACTCTGCCATCTTGGATCTCCCCTATTAATTCATTTTTGAAAGTACAAATTGATGTTCACTTCAAAATCTTACAGCTTACTATAAATGCAAGTATTGTTTGGTCAAGGAGATGAAATAGTAAAAAAGGCTGGCTCAGGCTCCCTCTTCTTGGAGTGAAATGTTTGTGTGCATTTGTGTGCTCCATGTGGGTATGTTGGGTGGCATCCTCCTGGAGTCTAGAGGTGGTCAGGAGGCCCCCAGTGCATCCTTAGATGAATGGTTTGTAGTTGCCTGGTTGTCAGTCAGTGAACTAGGTTACAGGGAAGCCAGTGCTCACCCACAGGCCTGAATAATCCCCTTTGTTATTTTGGTCTTAGCCTGATTTAGCTGCCTTTAAGTCAGGATTGGTGAATGCATGACATACCTTACCCTTTAATTCAGGGTCTATGGATCACTAGGTAATCACAACACTCTTTCCTGTGGAGCCCGATGTGACTTCAGAATCCTTCTTAACCCAGTGCTCCAGACAATAATGGCCAAACATCTGTAGAGCTGGTTTAAGGTAGGACATGAACTCGTTTTGCAGGCCCTCTCCAGGTTTTCTACTCCTTCTCAAACTTCTTACACCTCATTCTGCAGGTGTTTCTTTTTAGAGGGTCAGAGAAACCACAAGCTTTGACTGTTCACTTGAGCATTGTTTTCTAAAATATCAACTCTCCTGAAGGTAGACCCTCATGCTCAGGCTTCGTTGGTAGAAAATGTTTATACTTTTTGGTCTTAAATAAAGAGTTGCCATTTCACAGCTCTTTCCTACCATAACAAGTTCTCCTAGGATTTAGGAGCTTTTCTACAGAAAGGTTTATTTGTTGGGCTCTGTTTGTATGGGTGTGGGTGGGACCAGTTGATGCCTTTAGCTCTATCTGTGTGCTCCTCAACAGATGCACCAAGCTTAGGTTAGAGGATCTGGATTACGGCAAAGGCCGTACAATGGAGTGGACGTTTAGATGGGGGAGTAGGTCAGATATGAGACACAGCCAGAATAGACAGGATTTCATCACCGAGGTGGATGAAGGAGTCACTAGTGGCCACCATGAGTCTAACTTAGGCACCTGAGGGATGGGGATGCATTTACCGCCTTGGGGGCCCAGGAGGAGTTGGAGGTACTCTGAGAGAGGAAAGTGTCTGTGGTTCAGCATCTTTTGACTCTGGGATGCCTGTGGGACATCCAAGAGAGAACATCCCAGTTGCTGCCTGACTTTCAGTTTTCTTTAGTTCTGCTTGCACAATCAGAGAGAAGAGACATCCTGTCAGGGGCTGTTGCTTCCCCTTTGGTCCCTCGGCTGGTTTCTCTCCAGCTCCTTGCCCTCAGGCAAGAGAGGAGCCAGCAGCACAGTCTGCTGGGGGCTGCAGGGCAGGCTCTTAACACAGCAGGGCCCTTCAGATGTTCCGCAACTGACAATCCCAGGTCTACCGCCTGCCAGCATCTGTTCACGGAGACACAGCATCACAGACTCTCCGGACTGGAAGGAACGTTAGAGGTCATCCATTCCATCCATTCGGGGGTTGGCATTTTTTCAGACTGTTCTAGTAATTCAAGAGCTCCTCCTGTTATGCAGGAGACTGTTTCTTCCTACTTCCTTAACATGCTGTTAAAGACACGGTCCACCTGGGAGCCTCCTTCCTAAGGGGAAGCGTGTTTGTGGATCTAGCAGTGAGGGACATGATGGGGCAATTGGGGAACACAGTTCTTTTTGTCCTTCACACTATAGCTACGAGAATGGTCTCCATGGTTACGGTAGCTTCCCAGAGGTGTCTAGGTTTTCATTTTCCATATTTTCCTAAGTGTCTAATTTATGAATAATCTGTTTAGGCAACCTGCTGTAAAGTTTCTGCATGTATACAAATATCAAGAAATATATATTTCTGTATGTTCCAACCAACAAAAAAGTATGATGGTAGGCATTTTGGATACATTTTTTTTCTCCCATTCAAAACAGAAATTAGGACTGACTTTAAAAATTTCAAGTTAAACAAGATTCAATGAAAGCAACACTGCCTTCATGTTCTTCAAAGGCCTGTGAGCCAGAGAGGGGCTGGAGCTAACCTAATTATGTTTTCTTTAATGTGAAATAGCTATTTGCCTGACATTCCATTTGCATCTCACCATCACATTCAAGTGGCTGGGACATTGATTTTTTTTTTTTTCCCTAGGGCTTCCTTTGAACATGAAAGTGTTTTTTCCTCTGTTTTTTTTTTCTCCTCCTTGTGAGAGCAGTGATAAGAATGGATCGATAATTACATTGTTGGATAAAAATGAATATAAATTTTATTGAAAAACAACACCAGCAACAATGTGGGAAAAGCATACTCAACAGCCACCGGCCCACACAACTCAATGCACGCATTATGAAAAGTAATCACCTCTTAAGATGTCCAACTATTTATTCCAAATGAAAAGAAATGATAGACCTCAGATAAACTGATGTAGGACACAGGTACATATCACCCTTGAACCCTTTGCCAATAGCAAAAGGATGTATCGGCAGTACTGTTCTCCCTGTGTTTGTTGTGGGCGATCAAGTGTGTTTTAAGATTAACTGGCTTGGAGAGAACCTAGTCCTTCCAGTTAGTATGGTGTCTACCCCAGACCACGGGGAAAACTTTTCTACTTTTCAAGTCCTCTGAGAAGAGGATTTCACAAACGTTCTGGGCAACTTTTCCCTCCTGCTTAACAACAGGAAATAGTTCTGTAGGTCTAGCCTAAATCCTTCATGCTTCAGTTACTCTATTTATTTCCCTTTCATCTCAGCAGGCTGTGTAGTATAGCTTGTCCTGGTGGCACAATGTAACATATGGGGAACTCACAATGATCATAATCAGACTGAAAATGGAGTCCAGCTGTGCTGGTGGCGCTTCTGAAACAAGCTGAAAAGAAGTTAATTGCAGTTGTGTTTGTAGCCCATTTACTCCGCCACTGTCCCACCCGCCCAGACGCTCTGAACCTTTCTGCCTGTGGCCCAAGGGCTGCCATCCTGGGACTTGCCAGCCAAAGCTCCCTGAGTTTGATCAGCTTCAGTTCTTCACTAACATAGTAACGAGGGTGGTCAAAGCTGTCCCATCCAGTCCTGTGTCCAATGTTTCTGTTTCAAGATGGGATTTCCGGGCAAAGCACTCCCCAATCCTATTACATGCCGTGCCTTCTCACCAGGCAGTAACCTGGGCTCGCTTCACAGCTTGTGCGTGGCAAAAATGTGCTCTGGACACACAAGGAAGCGCTGAGAAGCCACGAGAGAGCACCAAGTAAATTTAACATAAACATCTCAGCTGCATTTTTCAAATTCTGCGTAAAAACCCTGGTGATAGGTTTAGCTTCGCAGAGGTGTGCAGCGCCGGCAGCTCCGCATAGTGGACACCAGGGGGCGCCAGTGCCCTTCCACCGGCCGCTGGGACTCACGGACCGGGGAAACAAAGATGGGGATTTGAATAAAAGACTTAAAAATGCAACCCTTAAATTCTACTCTGAGCAGCATGCGTGTAAAAATTCATGAAGATGGGATTTCATTTCATGTATTTTTACTTCAGTGGAAAGAAATGCAGGTGATTTTCTGACTGTGCCTACAGCTGTCTTTACAAAGGGGGTACCTGATTAAATGAGGGAGAGGCGTAGGATTGGCAGGCACTTTGAGAGGCTGGGCCTCCATCTTCAGTTCTTAGGACAGCTCCTGTTTTGCTGGGTGACATCCTCTGCATGCTGCAAAATACACTGATTCATTATATTGTTTTTAGAAAGATTCATGTCCTTCTGAGCAGGGTTAGCTGTGGCAGCGGCTCTGGGTCCAGTGACTGACGTGAGTCATGGAAGGCACTTATTATTTTGATGACATAACATTAAGGGTGTGAGAAAAGGCTGTTTTCAGGGTGTAAACACTCCCCTCTTTTCCTTGTCTTAGCACACAGCGGTTCCTTCCCTGGGGCCTTTGTGCATTTTCCAGGCGTGAGTGACATGGTGCTGAATGGCTGGGTGGCAGAGCCTGCCAGAAGGCACTGGACACAGGCCAGGGCAGCTCAGTCCCCTCGCTGGGGGTACTCCTCCTGTGTTCCCGAGCCTCCAGCCTGGTGGAGGATGGGCACCATTGTAACATCGTTGTGGGCCAGGTCCATGCTGGATGGCAGTGGGGACCTTTGGGGGAGGGAACCCAGTGGATGATGAGCTGATTTGTTAGGAGGCTGGAACATCAGACAGGCCTGGAGGTGAGGAGGAGGCTGATGCCACCCACTCTGAGCCCTGGGATGGCAGGGGCAGGACCCCCTTTGTTCCCTCTGTAACCCCAGCATGTAGCACAGTGCTTGGTGCTTATTAAGTGCCCCCACAAACATTGGTTGAATCCACAAATGTGAGAATGAAGATAGAGGAGGCTGTGAGGATCCCTGGCTGGCCCTGGCTATAGCTGAGCCTGGGGGCAATTGGAGCAGCAACTGGGGGAGAGTGCTTGGCAGTGCTGGCTCTCGGGGGTGGGAGCACTGAGACAGGCAGGGCTCATAGAGCTGGAGAAGCCAGGAGGTCAGCAGGGGCCACTTCGGGTGTCTCCGTGCGCCGGGATGGTGTTGCAGCGTCCACACAGGGCCTCTCCATTCTTCCTTCTTTGCTGCCCTCACTGGAGCAAGCCTTTCCGCTGTTGCCATGGTGATACCTGCCAGAGGAGCTGCTGAGGGCCAGCTGGGCAGGCAAGGCTTCTTGGGCCTGAGCAAGCAAGGGGCTCTGAACTGTCCCCACAGAAGGTGGGACCTCAGGGGTCTCTCTCGTCAGAGAAAGGGAGGCAGGGAGATGGATAGGGATAAGCACAGAAACTGCTCCCAGGGCAGGTCGAGGTTCCTCCAGCTGTGGTTTTGCTGGCAGAGAATCTTGGTGAGTGGCAGAGTCCTATTATTGTGGGAGTCTTTGTGGCATTGCAGCGTTTGCACAGCTCTCTCACCTGGCCTCCCTGCCCAGGTCTGTATTTAGGGCTATCGACAAGGATCCCTGGGAAGGGTGCAGGCTCGTAGAGGGCCTGGAAGGCCACCGCCAGGCCTCAGACTGAACCAACAGGCCTGCAGGCTCCTTTGAGGGCAGACTCAGGTTGCAGGACTGCCGTGGTACCCCTACCCAGGAAACCCAAGAGTGGGTGCTGGCCGCTCTCCGCTTTGAATTCTCCTAACTTTTCGGTGGCCACGTTCCCAGTATACAGAGGGACTGTGGAGGCCACCAGCCTCCAGCCAGTCGGGGGCCGCAGCTTCCTCCCCACACCTTCTTCTCCCCAGGGCTCTTGAAAAGCAAGGAGCACCTAATGAAGAGGCAGCAGGAATGCGGAAGATGGTCAGGTCTGGAAATATGATAGTCCAACCTTCCCTGGGGTCCCGGAGTGGGCGAGAAACACTGTGACGCTACTTAAAGGGGCTCTGTGATCCAAGATGACTCAGCCTTGCAAATCTTGTCCCTCTGGGACCCGGGGGAGGGTTTTCTCACTATCATGAGAAAAGCTTCCAGCCTGGGCAGTAGCCCTGCTTTCGCACATCAACCCTATAACAAAAACAACAGCGTTAATACGAGAAGGGGGCATCTGGGCAGTGGTGTACAGTTTACAATACCTTGGATTTACATAGCACCTTTTTCTTCTAAAGGGCCTTTGCCTCTATCCCCTTGGCCATTGCCACAACTGGGTGAAGCCATCAGACCACAATCATCACAGCTCCTGCGGCAGAGCAGGGAGACTGAGGCAGAGGCCTAGAAGTGATTCCATGCAGACTCAGTGGTGTCCAGGGCTCTCTGCACTTCCCTTGGGCCCTCCCTGGAGGGGTGGCTGGGGCAATGGCCCTCACTGGTCATTCACTTTATATTTCAGGATGTAGGAGTAGAAGTTGTGGTTGGCGTTCTCCAGCACCATGACGTAGACTTCCTGGCAGCCGGCCGTGCTGCAGCTGCCCTCCCAGTAGCCCTCGCTGTTCAGTGTCAGGGGCCATGTGTCCTGCCCCTTCACCAGGGCCTTGGCGACACCGTACAGCTTCAATTTGAATGGGACATTCCGGTTAGCGGGAAGCACGCCCGACAGAGGCTCCAGCAGCTCATTGTCCGGTCCCCAGTTGCCAAAGCTCTCGGGGAACATGGGCCAGTTCACCTTGGTGTTGCTGCAGCACAGGAGGTAATTGAAGACAAAGACATAGTTGCCCGGTTCCTGCCTCTTCTTGACAAAGATTTTGAGGGCAAACTTGCCGGCACGGGGCAGCTGGACTTTCAGCTCTGTCCGCTTCTCCCGGTGCAGCTGGAAGATGTAGCGCCGCTGTGTCTCCTCGGTGATGAGGCCATCGTCCCCATGCAGGGAAGCCAGGACACTGATGCCCTCCTCCACGCCGAAGGTGATGGAGCAGCGTCCATCACTCGTGTGGATGATGGGGTCAGGGTGGGAGGGCTTCAGGATGCCCATCTGCTCTGAGAACCAGCTGGGGCCCATGGGCTGGTGCAGCTCAGCAGGCAGGCGGACACCCATGTCCACGTAGTTACACTTGAGCGTGTACTCCAGCACGGAGCTGTAGATGTCAGAGTTGCCTTTGGCAAAGATCTGCAGCTTGTGGGTGCCCATGGTTGGAGGGTAGATGTCCAGCTTCATCCCATTCTTCCGGAGGCTCAGCAGCCCGTGCTCCTGCTTGCCATTGAGCATAAACATAAACAGCGTTGGGGCGCAGCTCTCCATGGTGATCGTGGCCTTCCCATTCACTGTGGAGAGAAAGCCAAGGTCAGGTGAGATGGGTCCAGCAGGTGTCGATGTGCTGGTAAATGTTTAACAACGGGCTCTGTGGGGGGAAAAGCCCTGACTTGTAGTGTTTGCCCATTTCCGTGGTGTAAATACTCTCACCATGATTGATTTTAAGCAGCCAATGTGATGGCACTGGACACAACATAAGCCAGCTGCAGCACACCACTGCCCCCTTTAGATGGTTCTCTTTGAGGGAACTGAAAGCTGGGGTCTCAAGAAAAATCTGCCCCCAGCTGTATGTGCTTGCTCCACTCATTTGATTCATATTAGATGAAGGTTGCAGGGAGACCTTGACTGATTTCAGAACAGGGGAGGGGATGGGGCAAGGAGGGCCCTGGGACCCTGATTGGAGAGCCACCCTTTGACCGCTTCCTCCGACTCTTGAGTCTTGCTTTAACACTGGTCCCTCTGGCATCTGTTCATTACAACATCAGCAGCTGTCATGTCAACACATTACCTTAAAAATCGTTTGGAATGGCTTCGCTCCTACAAAATATGCTCAAGGGGTGAGGCTACTTCCTTGCTCCCTCTCCCCCGCCCCCACGCTCCTGGTATGGGCATGTCTTAGCCATGTTTCTGGAATAAAGAGTCAGTGTGGCTCATGGGAGGGTCTTTTGCATCCACCCTGACTCTGCGTCTCCTCTTGCCCTGAAGTTTTGTCTTCCTCCTTCCTGGTGATTTTTTTCGGGGACAGGTGTTCAGTTCTCTGATCTTTACAGCCCTCGGGGCCACAGGGCATTCTCTCACATCCTCCAGGGGTGCTCAGATGAGGCCGAGCGCCCTGGAAGCCTCCCTCCTGCCCTGCGTCTCCTTCAGGGAACAGGGCACGGCTGTAATGAACTGGTTTTGTGTAATGTCTGTTCTCCCTGCCGGGTGTGGGCGTTGCCTCCTTTCCTGCCTTGTCCCAGTGCCTGGCCCAGAGAGTTCTTGGCAAAGGGGAGTCGCATGGCTGGGAAGACTTGAAATCAAGGGCTAGAGACCCCTGGGGACTGCAGGAGTCAGTGACCTCCTCTGCACCCCTCCCCCTCCGCCCCCCACCCCTCCTTAGCTCTCCCAGTGGCTTCCTGCCCCCAGCATCCGGGGACCTCTGCCTTCCCTGACTTCGTGCATCTCAGCTTCCTTCTTCCACTCCCTTCCTATTCCCACTCTGACCATAGCTATCTCCAACCAAGAAACATTCTTTATGCGTCATGAATATGGAATCAGCTTTTACATTACTATATATTCAGAAACCCAGCGTTGACATTTCTATGTCTCTTGAAAAGGCCAACTCAACTCAGTGGCCTTAGTTGGATGTTGGTGTGGCCTGGTGTGTGCTTCCCCGTGGCTCCATGGCCACCACAGACAGAACAGGCTCCCCATCTGATAAGACCTGAGGCAGCCAAGGCCATCCTGCCTCAGAAGCGCAGGAAATGCATCCTTCAAGAGAGTGACCTCGTGCTGGTATTTTAGCAGCAGGAGCTGTCAGGCATTTGCAGTTTTAAAAAGTATGCCAGAGCTCAGCCTGGTGAAGGAAACCATTGTGAAGTGGAAGGGACAAGGCAGCTGGAACTAATGTGGGGGCACCTGTGCTTCCTGCTGCTCCCATCACCCCTGCAGTGTGGGCTATGGCTCCCAGGGGCTCTGGGCCCACCCACAGACCAGCCGGTGCTAACTAACATCAATGTGAGTGCAGGCCTTCTCTCCTGGGAGTACACAGGCCCCTTGGTGGCAGAGAAGCAGCAGACAGGCAGGCAGCCCTTTGCTGGAGTGCATGTGTGGTACGGGGGTGCACTGGTGGGGCTGTGCTGAGCCTGGCAGCGTGTCTAGACTATATGCCTAGCCCGAGACCAGGCATCCAGGCCTCCGAGATGCATCAGACACAGTCTTCCCGAGACAGTCCTGCGAAGCCCATGACCACAGTTCTGGACTCCCTTGGGCTGCCCACCCCGTCATACACCTCATAGTGCACAAATACACCTAGCTGGCTGCCCACGTGGCCCCCGTCCAGGACAGCCATGGGACAGCTCAGTTTGGGTCTTGCACTGCCAGCCCGTCAGGGAAGCTAGCTGGAAACGGCTGGGTCCTGACACCAGGGAGGAGGGAGGTGGCGCAGAGGCTGGCAAGGCCAACAGGCACCCAGGTCACTGAGAAGGTCCGGGCTGCCTGAGCGCAGAGGTTCCCGGAACATGTCATCCCCCATCTACCGCGATGCCTGCTTTACTCCAGCTCCTAACACCCAGCTCGGCAGCCACCCCCCCCCCCCCCCCCCCCCCCCCCCGCCCCACTGATGCTCCCCGAATATCTGGTTAGACCACTGACACACAGATACTGGTTCAGCTGGGCCAACACATGCTCTCTGTCAGGAGTTTGGGAAGGGAACACAGCAGGGTAGTCAGCTTCCGCTGGACACTTGAACTGGGAGGTGGGTGCAGCCCGGGCTGAGGCAGTCGCTTCCTGCTGTGTGAGCCGACAGAGGCGCAGCCAGCTTGGGGCACTCCCGGCTCCGGCTCCCTGACAGGCTGGCCTGTGAGTGCAGCCCTTGGGAATAGGGAAACCCGCAGACTTTCTCCACATCCTCTTCTTGGTTCGTGCTGGTGTGAGCGGGCTTCTGTGCCTACAAGTGTGACCTATGGCTGCGTGATGCCCTGATGGCTTGGCAGACTTGGCTGCCTCAGTAGCCCCCTGCACAGAGCCCCCCTCCCACATCCCCCCACAGAGCGCACACTGAGCTCAAGGGCCCTGGCAGGACAGTCCCGTGTGGCTCGTATGCCTAGAAGCACGGAGCAGGCTGCCCTGTCTCTGCGGCCAGTGCACTGGCCACCTCCCCGGGGTTACCTGTTCTGATCACGGAAGAGTCCGGGTGGGCACTCAGCATCCCCTTGTTGTAGAATTCACTCTTGTGATACATGTTGTTCTCAAACTGCCTCAGGGATTGAGGAGGTTTTAGCAGTTGCCAGTTCTTGTTGTCTGGGAAATGGTCCTCAATGAACAGTGCAGGATGGGTGAGGAAGTAGAATTCATTGTAGCTGGAGTGGAGGAAAAGCTAGTCAGTAGCCATGAGGGGTGTGCAGGCACCAGCTCTGCAGAGGGGGAGTCAGGGCCTCACAGGGGTACCTTTGGGGCCTTCTTTTGGCTAACACACCCATGGGGGGTTGTCCTGCCAACACCCTGAATGGGAAGAGGTACCATCTCCAATCCTAACATGGGAACTGGAGAAAAAGGAGGCCAGGCAGCATCTGAGGTCGCTTCTCAGAGAAGGCCACGGCCCGCAACTGTGTCCAGGGGGAATGGGCTCCCTGCTCTCAAAGCCTAACAGAGATTTGAAGGGAGCAAAAGGCCTGACCTGCAGACCAAGGTGCCAGCCAGTGGAGTGGAGGGAAGGCAGTGGGGGGAAGTGCCCAGTGGGCCAGCTCCATCACCCCAGCTAGTCTCCATGCCTGAGCAGCTGTGCAGGTGGAGGCCCTTCTGTGGTCTCTGGGGCTGACCAGATGTGGCTCTGTGGAGGTCAGTGATGGAGATCAAGAGGAGACGAGGAGATTCATCTGAGATGGGGAGGTTTCACTCGGCCTAGGGTGAGTAGGGCCCACAGCTGACAGAGGTCGAGGAGGTGTGTGAGTGCACAGGCCCTGCATGTGGGGGTATGTGCACGCACTTGTATTTGTCCTGTGTGTGACTGTCAAGATTCAAACTGCAAAAATCAGAGACAATGCTCATTTTTCTCTGATAGACCTGAGCTGCTGATGGACATCATGATACATGACGAATGTCATGGCCTCAGCTTAAGGTCAGGTAAGAACCTTGGAGGGCAGTCATGCTCCGGCCCCCTGTGCTCCAGTCACTCTATCTGACTGTGGCTCACAGTGACTCTACACAATGACAGCACCCCTTCCTGAAAAACCCTAGCCCCTTCCTCAGAGATGTGCTATGGCTGCATTCAGCCCAGAGAGGAGGTGAGGAAGCCGGCTGTCTGGGGAAGGCAGTAGGAGAGAATCCAGGCATCTGTGCATCGTGACATAGTCAATGCGCTAGAGGCCTGCAGGGAACCTACACAGTTAAAGAAGGTTCACAGCCCTGACTTTCCTCATATGTGGCCCTCGGGCAAACGCTGCAGGCTTTTAGCACTTGGGTAGAGGGAGTGAGAGGGAGCCAGAGGAGGCCCTTCGTCAGTGGAGGGTGAGGTGACACAAAGGTCTGGGTCCTTATAATTGGCCTGGAGCTTGGAGCCCAAGGCAGGGTGGTAGTGGCCACCAGCAGGCCCAGGCCACCCTGGCTTTCCTTCCCTCCCACCTGGCCTCTTCCACCGGCTGCCTCCTTCAACCTCAGCCTCCTCCATTTCCACCGACCAGACACCCAGCGGGACTGAGACTTGTACTTACAGGAAGGTGAATTTGGAGGTGGTGGTGTCTACCAGGCCACTGCCCCAGGTGCTGTCCACCAGGTGCCATCTCCCCTCCAGGTACACGGCGTTCCAGGCATGGTCAAACTCCCCGGAGAAGCTCTGCCCTGTCTGGTAGCCGAACCCCTTGGAGTAGCCAGGCACGGTCATGCACTGCACGCCAGCGATCCTGGGGGTGGGACAGGGTCTGAGAGGCGGCTCCCGCTGGGCCTGTCTAACCCCCACTCCCCTGCCCTACCAATCTGTCTGTCTGTGGCCCCAGGCCTCAGGTGTGTCTGCTGTCTGTGAGTCCCTCCATAGCTCTCCTTTTCCCTGCCTCTTACACAGCCATATAGACACTGATGGCTTTCATATCCAGGGCTGCAGGACAGGGAGGTTTAAGGCTGGCTGGTCCTGCTGGTGGAGACTGGCTTCAGTCCTGCTGCCTGCCCATCCCACGAGACTGCACACATCACTTCTGAAATGTCTCTCAGAGCCTGAGTGCTCGCCAGGAGCTCTTCATGAGGACGATGAGTGCTGCCGTGAGGATCGCCTCAACAACGTGGAAACCAGGGAGATGGCAACGCTCCTTAAGCAGCAGAATGACTCTAAACACATGTATGACTGAGAGCTGGGTCTAAGTGACATGGGTGGGTGTCAGGGAGGGGTGCGGGATGCGAGGGTGCAGAGGGAAGCAGAACCCTACTGCCCCCGCTATGTCCTGCCCAAGGACATCTGTGCGGGGACCCTTGGTGCGGGCTGGCCGGTGTCTCCAGCTCTGACCCGGGAGGACTGGCCCACTGCCAAGGTTGTTCAGGTCTGACTGCCAGGGCCACAGAGGCGCGTTAAGGTCGTCTGCTGACTGATTGCCCCAGGCATGGTTTTGGAGTTGCCCAGAGCTGTTCTTTCTGAGCTCTTGGGCCTCCCTAACAATGTGCTCTCCTGCTGCTCACAGCCAAGCTGGCAATGCTTTATGGGGCTGGACAGTGGGGACTGGGTGCTGGGCACCTCTGGGAACCACAGAAATCACTGGCAAGCTACAATCTGGACATTTGTAGCTGAAATCCTGAGACCCCGACCTGGGCAGTGGGCACCACCCCAAGGCCAGGCAAGAGCGCTGAGAGTCCCGCTATGGTCAGCTGGCTTCCTCTTCAGTAGCCCTACCCCTGGAAAGGCAGCTGAGGGGCTGGGCCGCTAGTCTGACTGAGGGGTCACTCCGTGCTAGACCTCCTGGGGCCTTTGTGTGAATTAGAAAAAGTTGCCCCTTCTTCAAGACACTTTGCTTTCACTTGTGGAAGACTGGTACAATAAATACACAAACCTAGGACATCCTTAGATGGGGCGCCTTGGGCTGCCCAGCAAGCCTTCCAGGCAGTGCTGACCCCACACTCCACTCAGATGAACTAACTCTGCACTCTGGGGGTCGGCAGGCCTGGTTTGGGAGGGACGCCTCTGGTGGCCAGGGTCCTTCCATGGATCAGGTCTGCAGCCTCAGTGGCTCTAACCAAGAGTGCCATGGGGCCTCTCAGGTAATGTGGTGAAATGGCCAATAGGAATGGGGGCAATTTCCCCTACAAGGATGAATGCTTAATTAACAATGAGCAGAATATTGAATTAACTTATCTATCTCTGCATGTCATTTGTTGAGAGGATCAACGAGGTGAAATGTGAAGCCTCCAGGTTACCAGGTCTCCCCGCTGCATGGGTGCAGCTTCACCTGCACAGGGTGTTCTCACATAGGCCCCGCTACCCTCCCCTGCAGGGCGCAGGCTGCAGAGGTTCCTGATGGGCTTCGTTGTTCCGCAGCCCCACCCTTCCGCCTGCAGCTTCACAAAAGGAGGTCCAGGCCTCCCAGGCTGTCTGAGAGAACAGACTGGCTGGGCCCACTGGGAAGGATTTTAGGAATATGTGGGGTACAGGGGCAGAGAGCAAAAGAACTGGATTCTGATGTCTGGATTTTCTGCTGGTAAAGATCAAAACTGACTCTCAGAAGCAGAAGGGGCACCCTGGAAGCAGGAGGCCCGGGAGGCAGGGCGGAGGAGCCCACAGGAGGAGAGCGTGCAGCATGCACACCTGGAGAGCCCCGCCTCATTTAGCTGCAAGGAGCGGGTGAGGGGAGGCGGAGCCCAGGGGCTTGTTCTCAGGATAAGGAAATCGGAATGCATTTATAGTCTTAGAGAAAACAGCCAGCAGAGAGGGGAGGGTAGAAAGCAAGACCAGAGGGGTAAGATGGAGGTATGGGTGGGAGGCGGACCTCAACAAGATGGCTCCGTAATACTCAGAGAGTGGGTGAGGGGAAGAAACGTCGTAAAAAATAGTTAGTAAGGTAAGAAGTGCTCCTGATGTAATGCTAATTGACAAGAGCTTATGAAACTCTGCCTTCAGCACAATGCCTCTGTGTGTGTGTGTGTGTGTGTGCGCGCGCGTGCGCGCATGAGCGTGCATTCATGGAGGACAAGAAACAGAGGGGAGGGCAGAGTGACAGACACAGCACACATCAACTGGTCTCTTGGTAATGGGGTTATGGGTGATTTTGATTTTCTTCTTTAAACGTCTCTCTATTTTCTAAATTTTCAATAATGGTTACGTGTTACTTTTCGAATTGGAGAAAATTTGTAAATACTACTTGAAATTACATTCTTCAGTGAGTTATTTTTCTTTTTTGCCCAGAATGTCTGCGCATAATGTGGAGGGAGAAGGGAAGTCCTGGGGATAATGGTCTTTAGAGACTGGCCTGTTTTTCGATAAAGTAAATGGACTGAGTGGAGCCATGCCCCTCTGGACATGGACACTGATGCTCGACCTCTGCTCAGAGCCGCCTCAGGGAAGGAGGGGGAAGCCCTGTGCAGTGAAATGGAGCATGTGCTCATGTGGGCGGCATGGCCTGCTCAGACTTGGCCTGGGTGTCCTCTTAGGTGAAGCCGTGTTCCCAGGCAGTGTGCCCGGGGTTATCCTCCCATGGAAGGGGGTGAAGTGGAAGATTTGAGAACCAGCAGGAGTGAGAGCGCCCCCTTCCCCGGAGAGCGGGGAGCTCGCACTCCTGGCGTGCTCTGGGCTGGAGTGGGTGGTCACTGGGCTGAGCCAGGAGATCACAGCTCTACTCTCAGCTTTAATGGTCACATCTAGTGTGACCTTGCCAGGCTCGTCATGGGCAAAAAGAAAAGTTGACATTAAATGATCTCTAGGGGTTGATTCTCCTCTGACAGGCTGAGGAGAGGCTGGCAGTGCCGTGGGGAATGCCTGGGGCAGAATAAAGATGAAAAAATAAACTCAGCTATGAGCTTATGCCATGCTTGACTATGATATGAGGGCATTTTATTACCTGGCAGCAATGTGCAAGATGAATTGGACAAAGCAGTCATAATGTACAGCATTATTATTAATAATCCATAGTTCTCATGCAAAATTGTGGAACTAGTAATTCCAGCTGCTGGTTACTAGTCAGGATGACCCATGACCATTTCATGCCACCAAAAGATCACCGACTGTATACACTATGTGCAAAGCACTGTATCAGGCACCAGGGAATCCTATCCTATCCTACCCTACCCTTCCCTTCCCTACCCTACCCTACCCTACCCTATCCTACCCTACTCTACCCTATCCTATCCTATCATATATCACATCATAATAGATACTATAACATAATAAAATATGATACTCCCAAAATAAAGGTCACTGGCTGCCCTAGATGTGCTCATAGTTGGAAGGGGGGCAGATATGTGAACCGTCACTAAAATGCTACTGATAAGTAAACCCTGGGAAACCCACAGGAGAAGGAATTTGGTGGAAACAGCTGGGAGAGTCACTAAAGAAAGAACAGGACAAGAAACATTCCCATTTCCTAAAGAGCTCGGAGCAGTCGTCCTAGAGCCCAAAATGTCACCCAAGGAGATCTACCTAATAACCTCAGGCTGCAGAATCTTGGTTTTTATCTTTGACAGTTACGAAAATCCCAGTGCCACTGGTATTGGTTGAGGAGGTGATAGACCCAGACTGTGATGCCATTTTGTGCAGAGATGGTCCAGGCCCTGCCTTAGGAACCGAGTGATGCTGCCTTTTAGCCCCACACCGCCACGCCCCACAGGACAGCACATCCATTGGGTGCTAACCACAGAGAATTTCCCCAACTCTGATCACCTCCCCCAGCATGTCTGAACCACAAGGGAGAAAAGGGAGGGAGGGATGGTGGGTGCAGGAGAGGTAACGAAGCCTGCTCTTTTAGAGCCCCTTGAGGTGTGACCTCAGGGGCCTCCCCTAAACAGGTAAGGAGTTAGAGATTCAGAGAGGGAGGCTGACTTGTCTGGGAACACACAGCCAGCTGGTGGCCAAAGCAGCGCCAGGATTTGGTTGTCCTAATGCCCAGTTTGGGAGGCTTTACCCTTTTGTATACCAAGATTCGTTTTAATCTATAAATTTATGGGTGGTGTACAGAACAAATTTAAAGGGTGGTTTGCTATAGTGATGTAATTCATACTTGTAAGCACTATCCTTTGATGTAGCTATAAGGGTTTAGATGTCTCTTTTGGAGGCCTTATATGACAAAGTCAGATCTGAAGATAATTTAAGGTTATCCCATGTATCTGCCTCCCCCAGGAGGCTGAGACAGTCACTCCTCAGTCTTTGACGACTTTGGAAACAAGGGATCTTTGGGGATTGTCCGAGACCACATGCTAGGCAGAAGCATGCCACTGCTCTTGCTCTCCGTGACAGCTAAGGGATGGATGGAAAACTGACTGGCATCTGATTGTTGACAATCAGTCCTCTCAGCACCAAAGCCTCAAAGTGGTAACAAGCTCCTGGCTTTATCACACGTCGCTGGAAAATCTGTTAGCTGGGGGTGCTAGAGCTGTGATAATGGAGGGAAGGGAATGTACTGGAGGCTGACTCAGTGGCAGGAATCTGGGGGATTAAGCTTGGCCTTGCAAGGAAATTAAGCAGAATTCATTAAGGCTGGGACAATTGAGGCAACAGGGGAGACATTAATGCCGGATGATGAAAAGTCAGAAAGAAACTGGACCAGCAGTTACAAGCAATAGCACCGACAAAAACCTCACATCAGTTACTTGGGAAAGACGATGAGGAAATGAATGATGTTGTGAAAATATCTGAATTCCCCACCAAGTTACTTTATTAAACCAGTCTTTAATGAGGCCATTGCAGGGAGGCAGGATGGACTGGCAGCAGTAATGATGGCCATGTAGGTACAACTCTTGCTAAGAGGGCATTCTGATAACTAAACAGGGATAAATCAGCGAGTGTGGATTATATGTGTTTGGTTATTAAGGAATCAGCTAATGAATTTACCAAACCTTCGGCAATTATTTTAAAGATAAGGGGAATTTAGGGAAGTGATGAGGCTACTGATCTTTAAAGCAAAAGTTAAAGGAATTCAGGGAACTGTGAGCTATTATTGTTAACCATCCCGGGCAACGTGAGGAGTTCTGCACATGGTAACTGCCAGGTTGGAACCTAACTTTAAATGATGCAAAATGTTGGAATATGTTTTAATGATCAGCTGTAGGTCAGAATATGGTCATCGTTAAGCATCTGGACCGGGCCAAAAAGCTGACAGTTCCACTCAAAGCAAGTGTCAATTTTCTGAGTTTCTGGGAGTCTATGTGGGTCTGTAGGAAAGTTCCACAGAGCAAAAACACTTCAGTACTCAGGAAAGCCAAGGAAGTTAAAAAAACAATAATCTCAAAGTCAGGTTCACAACCCCCAAACTACATGTTCTCATTTAGTCCTATACTCTGGCCAGTAGGCAACATAGTCCCAGTGTAGAGATGAGGAAACTGAGGCCCCGAGGGGTTAAGTGCCTTCCAAGAGGAGCAAAACTAATAAGTAGCAAATTAAGAACTGGGAAACTGAGGACTGGGAAAACATTTCTGGCTTTAAATCTGGCACTCCTTCTATATCATGCTAGAAAGCTTATACTGGATAGAGAAGGGTATATTCTATGACTTAAAAAAACTCCAAGTGTTTTCAAATTTGCAAATTCAGATGAAAACATTTACAGTCTGAAAGATGCTAGGCACAAACAACTGAAGACAGATTTAAATATGGTTATCCCATTTGAAAAAAGAGAATAAGACCCATTTCATACAAGTCTGTTGGAATAGCCTGTCATTTCCTGTCTTTGACGGCCTACTGTGTGTCGAGTTCTGAGATGGGTGGTCATAAGAGGAAGCAGAAAGGCAGAAATGGGCTAACGACATATAAAGACATATAAGACCCATAGGCATATGAGAGGAAAAGAGCACAGGTAGCACCTATCATAGAGCAAAGTCAGAAAAGGAATATGATAAAATGTTAAGTGTTATCTCTAAGTGGTAGGACTCAGAGTAACCTAATTTTCTTCTGTTTGCTTCTGGGCATTTTATAAATCACCTACAATTAACAAGTATTCTTTTTAATTTAGAAAAGCCATTAAGTAAAAGCATAAGGCAAGACATGAGCTTGTGGATAAGGTGTGCTGATGATGTTAAGGGAGGGAACGTTGTGGGTGGAGGGGCGTCCTGGAGCTGGGCCTGGAAGGAGCACTGGGGAAAGGCGAGCAGAGCGACCTTGAGGAGACGGAAGTGCGGGCAGCATCCAAGGGTGCAGAATTGCAAGGGTGGATGAGGTCAGATTTCGGAGGATTTTATGGGACAGTGTGAGCTTTTATTTAGTCTTGTTCAGGAACCTATGGCCTGGGGAGCCTGGGCAGGGGCCCAGGGAGGATCCTGGTTCTTGGAGAGGCCCGAAGGCACGTGGTGGTGGGGACAAGGTCTGGGGTGGGGAGAGGAAGTGGGACTGTGCAGGGCGGAGAGGGCTGCTCTGGCCGAGTGAGTGGCGGGCGGAGGGGCTGGTGTCTTCTGCACCCTGACCTGCCCTGGTTGCCTCTGGGGCTGGGGTGGCAGGAGTGGGTCTTGGAGGTGGCAAAAGAGAGGGGCAGAGAGGACCAGAGCAACACAGGGAGCAGGTGCATATCTATGCTTGGTGGTGATGATGGGGGTGGCAGGCAAACACGTGGGGCCAGGCCAGGAGTTGGCTGCATGCATAGCTAATGGAGGAGGACGTCTGTGCAACACCGACACATCACAACTGCTCGCCTGTGGCCTCTGTTTGTTGTTATATTTGGTTTCATGACTAGCTAGCTACCTGCAAGTCCCGGTGGGCTGGCATCTGGGTGCCTGAGAAGACCCACTCTCAGAAGCCTGCAGAGACAGTGGGCAGGAGTCCATCCACCCCTCTCTGGAGGGGGCTTTTCAGTGGTCCCTAGGGCTGGCTCATTGTTTCCTGGGGAACCCAACAGACTTCAGAGAGTGGGCACAGGAAGCTGTGGGGGTCAGTGGGGCTCTCCCAGCCTTGACTCTGTCTCGAGATTACCCAGAAGCAGCAATGATGACTCCAAATACAAATGGTTTCCTTACTGGCCACTCAAACTTGCTGCCACCCAACCTGGGCAACCTGGCCAGGTGCTCACGCCCAGAGCAGTCAAAATGGAGCTCGAAGGCTCCACGAGAGACGCTGCTTCCTAGATATTCAGCTTTTCCATTTGACAGATCTTTTCAGGTAGGAGACCTTTTGTTTCCCCTGAGAGAGGGCCCCTGTGCCAGCCCCGAAGACAAGCCTCTCACGGTCGCCTTGGCATCAGGAGCCACTGTCCTCCCATTCCCAGATCTGCCATTCTTCTAACCTTCAGCTGCACAGAGATGGGAGAAGGTGGACAAAAGGGCCCTTTATAACCAAATTATCTCTGTGCATTCATCTGCCATTATGTTAATGCATCGTGAAGCCCGGCAGATGGTACAAAGTCAATTACGCTGGTGTTAAAATGGGAGAAATTGACCTTTTCAGGACTCACTTGGATTCCAGAGCAGAGTTTGCAAACTCCGGTTTCAGGGCTGGCATGTAGGCAAAGACACACAGCACTCTGGAAGGGGGCAGGGATGGGTAAGGGTGGTCAGCCCCAGGACGGCCTGCCTTTGTCGGCCCCTCGTACCTGCACATTTTCTCAAAGAGCTCGGCATAGCCATCGCAGTTTGTCTTCTGGGTCCTCAGGATGTCAGTGAGTTTGAAGGCCTGGCGGTCCTTCTCCTGGGCAGTCTCGATGTCGTACTCTGGAGGGCAGAAGAGGAGGCAGTGAGAAACCAGGTCCTGAGAGGCGACCAAGGTTGGTGCAGAGGAGAGAAGGGGTCCGCTGCCCGTGGCACCACCCCTTCATTTTGCTGTGCTTTTGGCAGCATTTGGGCTGGCTTCCCTCAGACCTGGAAGAAACCACTGTGGGCTGAATGGAATCAGGGCCCCAGCCTAGGTGTGATCTGGGAAATGTCACCTCTTTGTGCAGGTGCTGAGAGGAAAAGCAAGACACTGGCAGAGAGGGCTGCCTGGCTCTTTAGGTCTCCCAGGAAGGGTTGGAGGGGAAGGGACCAAGACAACACCCGGGCTGGGGGGCTCTGCCCACTTGTCCCCACCACCACTCAGCCCTGCAGGATGTTACAGTGAAGATGCTCGTGGTCCCCGCTACAGCCCCCCAAGGCCAAGGCCTCACACTGACTCACAGGCACACTGAGTTACCATTAAAGCTTGCCCCAAATAGAGAAGAATGCTTTCCCACAGCCTGTCACTTCACTAACAAGAGAGCCTGAGGCCTGCGGTGAGGGCCTGAGGCAGGAATCACTGGCCGCTGAAGATACAGAGGGAGAGAGAAAGAGAGGGAGGGAGGGAGGGAAGTGAACAGTCTTATAAGTATTTTATTTCTGATCCTGCCCCTTAAGGCTGAAGCTGAGCTGCTGGGGTTCGGGTGGGTGCAGGTGGCCCCTCAGACCCTGTAGTCAGACCCCCTGCCTGTGTCAGGTGAGTTCACCCTTTAAGCTGCTTTGGGAAGACAAAGGAAAAGCCCAGTGGTAGCAGGTCAGGAGAGCCCTCCTGGTCATTATGTCATAGGGCAAACACTGGAACCACCATCTGGTTCCTCCATTAACTGCAAAGGGCATCCAGCAAACCCTTAGCAGCCAACTGTGGGGCGTGGCTTGACCTGGTCAGACTCCCAAGGCTGTCCTGTGAAGAGCTGTGGATAGCTGCACAGGCCCAGGCCCTCTGAAGTGGCTCTGAGAACCTGGGGATTGGGCTGAGACTGGTGACTGAGGTTGCCAGTGCGGGGTCAAGGAGCAGGGAAAGGACAGCCCACCCTTCCTGGCACTGGTACGTCAAGAAACCTCTAATGTTGCACTAACTTTTCAGATAGCTATGACTCCTGCCCACCTGATGGTCATCCTTTTTGAAGACGACCTTCTGTCCTGGGTTCTCATCTCTCTGGAGCACATTGACCAAAAAGCCACGACTGAGGGAAGGTGGATGCTGGGTAAAAGGCCTCATCTCTGGCCACTGGCTATGGGCACGGGACCACGTGGGATCCCCCCACTCAAGGACCCTTCATGGAGATTTAGTACACAGTGCCTTTCACCCTCCTTGATTAGTCTTAAGTTATTCAATTCAGCCACGTAGGAACCCCTCTCCTTCACCTTCCATCTCATTCCTCACACACTGGTGATTGAGTTGAGTGCCAGAGGTGCTTCCCTGGAACCAGGGGTCTGCAGGGAGTGGCATCAGGTGGTCTTACCTATGTGGTGGCATATCCAGATCCAGATTGCGCGGACCCTCTCCAGGTCACTGTGGGCCTCCTGGAGCAAGTCATTCACCAGCTCGTCCAGGCCACTCTTGACTGTCACCTGGGGAGTGGGAGAGGTGTACTATGTCAGGGCCTGAGTGAGCCCAGCACCCTGCCACCTGCAGCCAGTGCTGTCTTTCCTCTGGACAGAGAAGGAGGAAGAGAGGCCCAGAGGGACAAAGGCTGGGCTGAGGGCAACCTTGGTGTGGGGGCTGGATATGGTAGGTCGTGCTGACCAGCTGAATCACTGGCTCTAGAGCCATCACTTCTTTTCTTTCTAGATCCTGGGGCCAGCCATGCGGGTGTCTGAGTGGCTGTAGCAGCTCCTAGTCATGGTCAATACTATCCAAAGTAACCTACAGATTTAACACACTCCTTATAAAATTCCAACAGCCTTTTTTTTTTTTTTTTTAGAAATGGAAAAGTCAATCCTTAAATTCATATAGAATTGCAAGGGGCCCAAAATAGCCAAAACAGTCTTGAAAAAAGAATAAATTTGGAGGACTCACATTTCTAGACTTCACAACTTACTACAAAGCTACAGTAATAAAAATAATGTGGTACTGGAATAAGGATCAGATCAACCAATGGAATAGAACTGAGAGTCCAGAAATAAACTCATAATACATCTATGGCTAACTGACTTTTGACAAGGGTACCAAGTCCACTCAGTAGGGGAGAGAATAGTCTCTTTAACAAATGGTGCTGGACAACTAGATATCCACATGCAAAAGAATAAAGTTAGATCCCTACCTCACAACATACACAAAATTAACTCAAAAAGGACCAATGACCTGAACATAAGAACTTAAACTGTAAAACTCTTAGAAGGAAACACAAGGATAAATCATCATGACCTTGGATTTGGCAATGGATTCTTAGATATGATATCAAAAGCATAAGTTGCAAAAGAAAAAATAGATTAATTGGGCTTCATAATAATAAAAAACTTCTGTGCATCAAAGGACATTATTAAGAAAGTGAAAAGATAACTTATACAGTGGAAGAAAATATTTTCGGATCATACATCTGATAAAAGTTTAATGTCCAGAATATATAAAGAACTCCTACAACTCAACAAGCAAAAGACAATCCAACTTAAAAATGGGCAATAGACTCGAATATAAATTTCTCCAAAGATATATAAATCTTAGCTGAACACTGTTCTATGGCTGCATCTTTGGCCTCAGCTGGGCTTCTGGCACTGCTCTCTGAGCCTGGCCAGCAACCTGTTCCTTTCAATGGATAAATAATATTTCACTGTATGGATATATCACATTTTGTATACCCATTCATCTGTGACTCCTGGGTTGTTTCTACCTTTTGGCTATTGTAAATAATGCCACAATGAACATCTGTGAACAGTATCTATTTGAATACCTGCCTTCAGTTCTTTTGTGCATATAGCTGAGAGTGGAATTACTGGATCATATGTTAATTCTTTAACTATTTTAGGAACCAGCAAATGTTTTCCACAGTGGCTGCACCATTTTGCATTCCCACCAGCAATGCACAAGGGTTCTAATTTCTTCATATTCTTTTTTTTCTTTTTAATTGGGGAACAGTGTTTGTTTTTTAAAGATTTTATTGGGGGAATTGGGGGAGGGAACCGTGTTCGGGAATCGGGGAAGGGGAACAGACAAGTTGCTGTCCTTTTTGTTTTTCAGTCTAGTTGTGGAGGATGTTGCTTCACTGGCCCATGTTGGTATTATCATTGTGCTCTTCCTGGGTGAGGCAGTTGCTCGCCGACTATTGGACAGTTGCTCACCGCGGCTCACAAAAGCGCACGCCAGCTGCTGGCCAGCCCCACTGCAGCCTATGCCGTCGCCGGCGACTCACGGCAGCCCAGCTCCAGGTCGAGCTGTTGTTCACCATCTTAGCTGTAGAGGGCGCAGCATCATTGGCTGCATGTGGGATCCGAACCGGGGCCCTGCTGCTCAGAGCTGGCGTCCCAAGCCAACTCTTAACCAATGCGCCACTCTGCCAGCCCTAATTTCTCCATATTCTTGTCAACACATATTACTGTCTATCTTTTTTACTGTAGTCATGCTAGTGGGTGTGAAGTGGTATCTCCTTATGTTTTTGCATTTCTCTAGTGACTAATGTTGTTGAGTATCTTTTCATGTCATTATTGCTCTGGAATCCAAGTGAGTCCTGAAAAGGTCAATTTCTCCTGTTTTAACATCATATGGTGGTCACTGCCACATATTCCACCCTCCTCACACTGTGGACAGCCCCCTTCCCTTCCCTCATCTTGCAGATGACCTGGCCTCAGACTCAATGAGGCCCAGTCAGGGCTTCCTTACTGATGAGCCCTCCATCCTACTTCCTTCCTTCCTTTCTCCCTCCTGCGCAGCCAGCCTCTCTGTCAGCCTTGGGTGCAGGGCCTGCTATTTCTCAGGCACTACACTCGCTCGCCTGTGTCATCACCTCCTCCCTTCACGTCCTGGCTGTCCTGTGCCCTCCTGTTTGCCGTATCTCTTCAAAATGCCCCCAAATCTCTTTCTCAGGACTGCACACATTTAGCCTCCCCTCCTTTGTCAGGCATCTGTGGGGTCTTCTCTCCACGCTCTCCTCCAGCCTGAGGTGGCGCCAGGCCCTTCAGACCCCTGCCCCCTGCCCTCCCCAAGACGACACCCATACTATGGCTTCAGCTGTTAGCTTAACCTGATGGCTCCTGAATCAGTGTTTCTGCCCAGACCTCTCCAGGCTGGATGCAGCTCCAGGCTCGGCTATCCAGCTGCCCCGTGGTCATTTCCACTAGATGTTCCACAGGTACTAGAGGCCATCGCCCCGAAACAAACTCATCATCCCCCAAGACTTGCTCCTTCTCCCTTGCTCCAGCACCTGAGAGCTCCTCTCCCCACCTTCGACCTCACTCCACACACACTGGGGACCAGGTCCTTCCCTCTGTCTTCAGCTCAGTACTGGCCTTCTGCTCCTCTCTGTTTTCAGCGTCCCCTGCTTAATCCCAGTCAGGCCTCCTCCTCCCAGGACAGGTGGATGTGCCCCTGCTGACCGTCTTGGTCCATGCTCCTCTCCGTCCATTCACCAACTCAACAAACAAGGTTCCCAAGCACCCACCACGTGCTAACGCAGGGTGGCCTTTCTGACACTGAAGGTGATTGCCCTGCTTACCAGTCTAGCACGGCTCACTCTGACGTCAGCAGCGGGTCCAGCTCCTTGGTCCTTCTAATCAGACACTCTGTGGTGAGGGTCCTGCTTGGTTCTCATGACCCCAGTGGGCCCCTAGTGCCTCAGCTCTTGTAGTTGTCCCTCTGTACCCCCACGCCAGATGTGCCCGGGCCCAGAGGTGTGACAGCTTGGCAGCCCACATGCTCCAGGAGTGGGCATGGCTGTAGTCACAGTGGGTGCTGACCATTTGCCTCCATGGTCTTTCCCCATTCTCTTGCTCCCATCTTTCCTGGGCTGGGGCTGTCATGGATCAGCAGTGGCAATGCCCAGATGGGCAGGGGGAAGGCAGGATAGGGGTGGCCAGGGGGGCCTGCCAATGGGGTGGCTGAAAGGGTGTGCAGCCTGGGATGGAAGAGTTAGGATTGTGAGAGGGGTGGGGGGATGGAATGGCCTTTGGTCCTGGGCAGGGGCCAACTGTGTTAGGCCTTCCGTCCCTCATCCATATGCTGAGAAAAGGAATTCTGGGCCACCCATTCAGGGACTCAGGATACGTTCAGGAGGGGCCTGGGGAGATGCTGTGCTACCCTGGCTCAGGGAACTCCAAGCTACCTTGGTGGGGGGCGCATAGGCAGAGGGGCCAGCTCTCCTACCTGCGAGGCATAGGCATCCAGTTTCTCAAATTGCCGCAGGTCCAGGGGCATGGATTTCAGGCTGGACCGATCCCAGGGATACGCTGGAAACACAGGGAGGCTAGGTCAGCTGCTGCGACCTACTGACAAGGGCTGCCTGGCTCAGGCCTCCCTGACTTTTTGAGGCGCTGTGACTGCCCAACCTTCAACATGATTCCCAGAACCTGAAACTTGACTCTTAAGAGCTATATCTCCTAGCAGGTTTCCTTGGTCAAATTGGTTTGGGGACTATGGCAATACCTCTAGTCTTCTCGGAGACTCACAGGGAACATAAACTTATTTGCAGACCCTGTGGAACCAGTACTAAAGAAACTGGTTCACCTCAATTAACTCAGCAGTCCCCAGACAGGTTGATGATGAAATCCCTTTGCCCCCACCACTTAGTTTTCTGCAGATTCCCTGCTAACTTTTCCAGGAATGAGTGCTCCGTGGGAAGTGCCCAGGCAATGCTGCTAGCCCCTGATGGGCTCAAGGAGGGAGGGCTCATGCCATGGCCATGGTGCTGAGGTGGAGGTGCTGCAGAGCATTCTGAGTGTGGGAACAGGGCATGGTGGAGCCAGGCCATCTGGGCCTCTGTAGGGCAAGGTGGGTTTGACACCCATAAAGCCTTTCTCCCTTGTCCCTGGTCAGCTAGAAACTGGAGAATCCTAAGAAAGTCAAGCGTTCTGACAACAGGCACCCAAGGTACTATGGGGAGGCTGCTGAGGGAGACTCATCCCAGAATCATTCATCTACGTCCAGCTTTTCTCATAGAAAGCCTGGACACGGGACAGGCCCGTTCAGCTGCTGCAGGGCTAATTGCCCAGTGGTCAGACCTACGGATGGATGGGCAGCAAACCCCTGTCTCAGCCCGGAAAAGATTCTGGGCTCTGGCAGGGTCCTTGATATTCAAGGCCCGCTGAGCCAAGCTCGCCCAAGTTAGGCAAGCTGGGTGGGTGGACAAAGAGTGGGTGAGAGGAGGACGGGGCCAAAGGGGCATTGTTGCCCTGACTCACGTGGACCCACCCAACTCTCAGCCTGCCATCTCCGAAGCCTCCAGGTATCGGGTGAGTGAGGGGTGCCGGTGGGGCCCCAGGGTGCAGCAGTAAGCCTGAGGAGAGTAAAGTGATGTGGGAAAGTGCCTAGTAGTGCTGCAGAAGGCCTGGGCTCAACTTCACTGGGTCTCAGGCACAGATATACGGGGTGCCTGGGAGAATGAATGAGATGGTGGTTCACGTTGTAAGGTCGGCGTCACTCTGCTCCCTGTAGGTGCAGAATGGAGGTTTTCAGCAGGCAAGTGCAGGAACAGCGCTACGAAGCCTCTGTGCCCGGCACGTTTGCCCACATCCCACAAGGGTGGTGAGAGTCCCATACCTTGGTGCTACAGACCCAAGTGATGTGGTGAGAAGTTGGGGAGGGAGTGTCACCACCAGCTCTGGTCTGAGCTGCTCCCTGGCCAGCAATGGATGAGGGGCAGTGCCAGTGGGTCAGGGAGCTAGTCAAGTTTAGCCACCAGGAGCAGGCCACATCATCCTTCAGCATTTTCCTGCTGCTCCAAGGCCCCTCCCTTCAGGAACCAGGCCTTCTCCCTTCTCAACCCCAGACTGGATTTGGCACCTTCCCCAAGGGCACCTCATGCCACTTAATGCTCCCTGCTGCCACTTTGCAGCGGCCCCTGGGGGGTTTGGTCCTTTTGGCCTGAAGCCTCTGACTGGGTTCTCACCATGTCACATGTTCTGACACATCCGGGATCTGAAGGCTATTCCTCTCCTAAGGGGACAGAGCATGTGGTGGGCAGGGAAGCTGTGCAAACCCTACCTGTGGTCTCACCCAGCAACCTAGCATTTTCTTTCTTCATTTACCTTCTCCTTCTATAATGACTAAGATATTTCCTGGACCCCCCTGCCACCCCTAAATCCTTCTGTCCTGCAATCCTACATGAGAGCTCCCTTAAAGACCAGCACCATCATGGCCACCCCTCTGGTGCCGAAGCTGGGACTTCTTGTCTTCCACTACTGAGGTCACCATCAGTCTCTGTCCTGTGCGGTTCTGAAGGGCACAGGGACAGGGTGGCAGGCCCTCCTGAGCTGCCTTGCTTCCCAATGGCCTCTCCCTCCACAGGGTCTGGTTCTTGCCATTCTCTGACAAGGGCCATCAGGGTGACCTAAGTGGATATGAAGGGGACTTACACATTGAACAATTTCCACTCAGTATAGCTCTGCAAATGAGGTCACCCCACCCACATTTAGAAGAAAGATGACATTTCTAAAATGGGACTGAAAACCCTATTACTAGTTTTACCTTTACTTGGTTCCATTTTACAATATCTAAACATTAAAAATACCCATAATGATTTATGCCTCATTAAATTTACCTTCCGAGCCGATTATGTAAGATCCAGATATGATTTTCCACAAATACATTTAAAATGCCAGAAGCATTAACTAAATTATTCTAATTTTAAAGTAAAACAATGGGAAGAAGTGTCAAGTTGTACCAAACCTTAGATGCCATCTGGTCTACTGGGGGTGGAGGGTGGGAACTGAGGCCCAGGGGCAAAAACAGAATTCAAACCCAGGATGTCTATCAGCCCATTCCGGGTTTCTTCCTCTGCCCAACTCTGCTTATTCACACACCACCTACTTTACAGACACTTGGCCCTTCATGTTCACATAGTTCTGGATTCTGGTTTTAATATGTTTCCCATAACGAGCTGCCTTGTTATTGATGGGGTTTCTGCTTTAACTTTAGGTGTGTGAGCTTTTCCTTTCTTCCCTTGTGTTCATGGCAGACACTGCTAATCAGTCACAGTACTCCTCCCCCCTGAGCCCAGAGGTGGTCCCAGATGCTCAGCACAGAGCCCCAGGGAGCCATTTTCAATTGACTGGACTTTCCCCATGAGGCTACACCAATTTCCCGTCTCACAGAACGACCCCTGAGAAGGCCCTGCAACTTACCGTGGGCATCTTTCCCTCCAGGCTGTCGGGGTCTTGTGTTTCCATTTTTATCACCTTGTAAACATACAATATCCCAAAGGTCAGAAGGAGAGACACTTCAGAAGAAATAGCAATGCAAGCACGGATGATTCTCTGTGTGGTGGTCCTTGCTTCTAACCCACTGTCCTTCGCACAGCCTTCTTACTTCCATCCCCTGGACTTCTGACTGCTGGAAGTGCCCTGAACTTCCTGGTGGGGCAACGGGAAGACTGGGAACCAGGGATGGATGACGAGAAAGACAGCTGCAGGCTGTGAGCAGAGGTAGCATTTCCTCTGGCAGCAACACTTTGGGTTATTCAGTGGGTCTGCCTGGAGCTGGCTGCTTTTGCTCTTCTCTGCATTCTCCTGCCATCTTGGAACACAGCTGGGGATGCTAAGAGCACCAGCGAATTCATACCAGATAACCCCAGGACAAGAACTGACCATGGGCAGACACAAAAGTGGGGTGAGGGGACAGTGGTTTGTATGGAGCTGAAACCCAGAGAGGTCAAGTAATTATTACATTATCCATGGGACTGTTCAAGGGCCACCAAATCCTATAAATCCAGGACTGTTAAGGCAGAATGGTCATCAACAGTTATTAGACTCCATGGGCAGCAGGGGAGGAGCTCTGCCTGCTGATCTGAACCCAGGTCAGGAAGATGTGGGTCCCTGGTGAAACCAGGAGGAGCTGGGGTTGGGGTGCCAAAGCAGGTTGTTTTATGCTCTTGAAGCCCACTGTAGGTTATAAATACAACGATGAAAGGTTGCAGATGTATGTAGGCCACTCTGAGAAACAACAGGCCTTTCCCTTGTTGCACCTATGTTTTGTTTTCATCTCCATCCTTTGGTAGAGTAATGGGGGTTCACAATAGCAGCTAGTATTTAAAATTGTGTCCTCACTACGCCTGGCTTATGCTTTCTGTTGACCATCTCATGTAACTTCACAAAAATCCTGTGAGGGACACTGAATTATTTTCCTCCTTTTCTAGATGAGGAAACAGTCCAAAAGAGGGATTGAGACACTTGTCTGAGGTCACAGGGCTGAGGTCTGAATCCAGGTCGCTGACTCTTAGGACCTGTCTCCTCTATACCTGACTGCCCTCCTGAGACCCTGACTGCTGAGGCTGCAGGACCAGGCAGCCACGGAAGGCCTACCTTGGCCTACTGAGTATACACAGAGAGAACCTGAGCCTTGGCTGTTCCACAGCCTCCTTTCCTTGGCTGGCATTTGCCCATGCCCCTGTCTAGCCACAAGATGGGGAGATGCAGAGAGAAGAGCCAGAAGGGAATGGAGGAGCGACCACGGGCCGGCATCTGGGCCTGTGTGCCCTGCACTGAAGGCGGCCAACTGTGGTGGGTAAGAGCACAGGCCTCAGTCAGATCTGGGTTCTGACCCTCTTCCTAGTTTCCACTCAGGCAGTTACTTCACCTTTCTGAGCCTCACTTTGCTGATCTAAAATGTGGGGGTAATACTGGTATATGTCAAAAGGTTAAAAAGTTAATAAATGTAAAGAACCTAGCACTGTGCATGTTACTTTTTAGGCAGTCAATAATGTTATCTAAAAACAACAACAATACTCTTGTGATGAAATTCATGTTCAGGTAAATGCCTTGTGTTACCCATGCCTAATTATAGACACTCAAGAACAGTGGCTATTGGGTATGGACAAGAAAGAGAATCCCCAGCATGAAGCTGTCATGCCTTTCCTTCTTACCAGAGTGTAGGTCCAGGTCACTCCTCTCCTTACCCCAGAAAATGCCCAGGCTGGGCTTTAGCCCATTTAGTTGCCCTCAATCCTCCCTGCCAGCCCTCCACACATGAGCAGCCGTACGTACGTTTAGCCAGGGAGAACTTCTTGAGCAGCTGGGGCATGGCATCTTGAGGGTGGACCTCCACAGTCAGCTGTGTCCCTGTAAAGAAATAGGAGGTGACATCCTCAGCCTGATGCTACTAGTAAAGGGTACAATGTCTCATGACAGATGTTTGAACAACAAAACACAATTGGTTTTACAGCTGTCTTTTGAATACACAAGTAATTCTTATTTGAAAAAAACAAAAAGAAAAAGCAAGCAGACAGCTCCCAGATCCAGGCAAGACCGAGTAAGCATATTTCACCTTGTCTTGCTCATTGAATGCAACTATAAACCCTGGAAAGAATACACAGGGCAATTGTTTGAGGACTATGTAAGTGACAGAAGGCAAACTGGGGAAGAAGATTAGAATTTAAAGTGTCACCAGATTGTCAAGGAGATTAGCATTCTCCTCCTTCTATGGTATCACCTAGACTGGACTCAAAGGCAGCCCCAAACCCAGAAGTGCACAATGGATCTAGAGAAAAAGTGCTCCAAGAGAATTCAGTGAACTTTAAGATAGATTAATAGAAAGCATCCAATATGAACAACAGGGAGAAAAAGTAAACAGAGCCTCAGGGGACCTGTGAGACAATACCTAAAGGTCTAGCATTCATGTCATTGAGATCCCTGAAGGAGAGGAGAAATAGTATAGTGCAGGAAAAATATCTGAAGAAATAATGAAAGAATAATCAATGAAACCAAAAGCTGGTTCTTTGAAAAGATCAGTAAAATTGATAAATCTCTAGCCAGATTAACAACAACAACAACAAAAGATGTAAGACACAAATTGGAAATCAAGACACCAATATCAGGAATGAAATGGGTGATATCACTACAGACCCCATATGTATTAAAATAACAATAAGGAAATACAAACAACTCTCTGTACATAAATTCTACAACCTAGATGAAACAGGCTAATTCCTTGAAAGTGACAAACAACCAAAACTCACCAAAGGAGTAGAAAACCTGAATGTTCCTATATCTATTTTTCAAATTAAATTTTTAGTTCAAAATCTTCCAAAAACAAACAAGTACGTGGAAAATTCTAACAAACATTTAAAAAGAAATAACACCATTTTTTTTCACAAGATACTTTAGAAAACAGAAGAGTAGTGAATAATTCATACCCATTTTGTGAGGCCAGCATTAATCTGATACTAAAACCAGACAGAAAGAGTATAAGAAAAGAACACTATAAACTAACATTCCTTAGGAACACAAAAATCCTCAACAAAATATTAGAAATTTAAATACAGCAATATATTGTGTTGTTGGAAAAGTCATAATGCATTTTTGCAATGAAAAACAGAAAAAACACTTTATGACTTTTCTGACAACCCAATAGTAAAAGAATAATACACCACAGCTGAGTGCAGTTTATTTTGGGAATGCAAAGCTGGTTCAATATTTGACAACCATTGAATGTAATTCACCATATTAGCAGGCCAAAGAAGAAAATCACATGATAATATCAACTAATGCAGGAAAAGGCATTTGACAAAATTTAGTATGATAAAACCTCTCAACAGACTAGGAATGGAAGGAAATTTCCTTAATATAAAAAAAGGCATCTACCAAAATTCTACAGCTAACAGCATACTTAATGGTAAAAATGGAATTCTTCACCTCTGAGATTAGAAACAAGGCATGGATGTCCACTCTTACTGCTCCTAATAAACATTGTACTGGAAGTCCTACCCAGTGCAATAAAAGAAATAGAAGTCATATAGATTGGAAAGGAAGAAATAAAACTTTCCTTATTCACAGATGACATGTCTGTCTACATAGAAAATCCCAATAATCTACAAAAAAGTTCCTAGATATATATAAAAATAAATTTAGCTTGGTCACAGGATACAAGATCAGTACCCCCAAATTAACTATATTTATATTGGCAATAAATAATTAGAAACTGAATTTTAAAATTATTATTTCCCATAGCTCCAAAAATTGAAATACTTAAGTATAAATCTTAAAAAAGGTGTAGAAACTATATGTTAAAACCTAAACAAAATATGATCAAACAAATTAAAAAAGACTTAACCAGCTCCCTAAATTGAATGATAGATTTAATGCAATTTTAATCAAACTCCTTGGAGAAATTTTATAGATTGTAGATATAGGCAAGATGATTCCAAAATTTAGATGGAAAGTTACAGCAACTAGAGTTGCCAAACCAGTTTTGAAAAACAAAAAGTTGGACTCCAACTATCTGATTTTAATATACTGTACTATAAAGCTACAGTAATTATAACAGTGTGATATTGGCAAAGGGATAGATACAGAGATCAACAGAGCATAATAAAGAGTTGGGAAATAGACCCACACAAATATGGCAATTTGATTTCTTTACAAAAGTGCAAAGACAATCCAACTAGAAAATGGGCAAAAGAACAGATATTTCACCAAAAAAAAGAGAGATGGAAAATAGCCACATGCAAAGATGTTCAACACGATTAGCCGTTAGAATACAAATTAAAACCACAATGAGATATCACATCTATTAGAAGAGCAATAATAAAAAAAAATAGTGATAATACTATATGCTGACAAGGTTGTGGAGAAACTGGATCTCTTGTACATTGCTGTTGGTGGTGTAAAATGGTACTGCCACTGTGAAAAATAGTTTGGCAGTTTCTTATGAAACAAAACATATAGTTAACAAATGACCCAACTATTGCACTCTTGGAGAGAAATGGAAACCTATGTTCACACAAAAACCTGTACACAAATGTTTACAGAAGCTCTATTCATAATCACCCCAAACTGGAAACAGCCTAAATGTCCTTCAGTGGTGAATGACAAGCACCCTGGGGCATATCAATATCAATAAATACTTCTCAACAATACAAAGAAGCTCTTAGGAGTGATGGGAAGATGTGATTACAAAGAGTCTGCACAGAGATTTTTGGGGTAACAGAACTGCTCTGTACTTGGCTGCAAAATGCCTTGTGAAAAAAACGAATTGAGAAACATGTCGACTCGCTCCCCTTTTGTAAGATGAAATACACAATGCTTTGAGAAATCCTCCAGCAAAGAAGTCTATCTGACCCAGTATTATTTTGTCAAATACAACTTGGAAAATGCTGGACTGAAACAATCTTCAGAAGCTTAGAGAAGCTGCAAAACTGAAGAACTTGTTGGTTTAGGATTCAACAACCAACCTCTTCCCCAGACTTCTCCTAACATCCAGGAATTTCCAACCACTCCCAATTCAGCCATATCTCTTTGTCAAAGAATTAGGGAGCTGAAAAACAAAACTACTGTTAAAGCCTTTCCAACGGTGGGTGTTGAGGTAGTCTCACACGTTGACTGCAGCCCTGGACAGGAAGCTACGCTCATCACCATTTCTAATCCCTCCTCTCCTTCCTGCACTTCCTCTTCTCTCTCCCCTGTTGGACAGGAACTGTTGTCTAGCATTCTCCTGAGCCCCACTTCCTGGTGCTACCCCAAAGTGGCGTGCTGACCAGCACTCTTTTGAAAAAAAACCAGCAAGGCTCCTGGCCTCCCTGATCTGTGTGAGAATGTGAGCCCCACTCTCATTTACAGGTGTGTGAGGGCACTTCTGGGAGGCCGCTGTGCTCCAGGAACTGGGCCTGGGCCTGGGCCTGCTGTTACACTGTGAGCAGCATTCACAGTGTAGCCCCATGCTTCCTAAAGGTGTGAGTAAAGTGGTAAGAGTTTGCCGACCATAGCATGCCTATATCAAATAAAACTCTTAGTTTAAGGGAAAAAAAATTAATTGGACCAATCTCCAATGATACAGTGGAACGTCACTTAGAGCAAAATTTAAAATAAGATCTAAACCCTAAGTACAGACACCATTACACTAATCTTAACAGTCATGACCAAACTCAAAGGAGGTGCTTCCTGGAACCTTAGGTCACCTGGCTGGCTTTCATGGCACCCATACCCAGTTCTACCAGTTGTCACCTGCATTCAGCGTGAGACTACCTCAACACCCATCCTTGGAAAGGCTTTAACAGTAGTTTGTTTTTCAGCTCCCTAGTTCTTTGACAAAGAGATATGGCTGGATGTTTCCCAATAACATTTCGGGAGCTGCATGCAGCTTTGGCTGTCTTAGTGAAAGTGTATTCGTGATTTTTCTCCGCTAACCCTAAGGAGTGGCTCCCAGGCCTTTTCCCCAGATGCCATTGGCTCTGCTTCCCTTTTCCTACCCTCTCAGAAGTGGAGATGTGGTGGGGAAGCCCAAGTAGCACGTCCCTGGGGTACTGCCTTGATTTGCCTCTTGCTCAGTCAGGAGGGTTCTCCCACCCTGGGGCTTCTCTGCAGGTCTCTGCAGGTTTGAATCAGGATTTGTCTAAAGGCCTAATTTGCTCAGAATACCTAACGCAGGGATGGCAAACAGATTTTGTGTTGTTCATTAACTCTGACTGATTGGAAGTGGCCGCCCGGAGCACTGATCAATTAGCAAAGACTGTCAGGCATGTGTGTGTACGAATGTGAGTGTACGCACACAAGTATGTGTAGGGAAGGAGGGATTCCTGTCAGGTATCTGCCGTCGCTGACTTAAGGTGTTCATTAACTCTTTTCAGAACTGGCTCCTAGATTTACAACCTGGATTCTTGGCCTTGGACTATTTCCCTGTGGTAGCTGAGCACCAGGAAGCCTCAGCTAAGGCATTTGTAATTTCAAAAACATCCTTAAACAGACTCTGGCTAGGTTTCTGCTCAGAGTGCAGTAGACAGCTTAGTGCAGGACGTGGTGAGCTCTGACATCCTAGGAAGAGCTTGTTGGATGGTGACAGGACAGCCCAGCTCTGCAGATGGTTCACCGGGTACTGCTGGACGCAGTACGAAAGCCCCACTCAGCAGCTCTAGTTATGAGATGACAACTGAGTGTGCCAGAGCTCAGGTCTGAAACCCTTGGGGCACCAGCCAGGGTGTGTGATGAAGGGTGTCTCTTGCAACCTTAACTGACCCGGCTGCCACTGGGCTCTTGAAAACACAGGGGCACTCATGGTTCTTTCTGCAGAGTGGAGCTCCATGGGGATGTCCGAGGTCCGGAAATGTGGCAGTTTGACCCAGAGCATGTGTGATTAAAGATGGCACAGGGTGTCTGCATGGGGGTAAGTGTGGATGACTCGGAAGGGTGGAAGCCTCAACAGAAAACTGACTGCTTAAGAATGACTTTCAAGGCCTGAAGTCCAGGGAGCACTCTCCTCTCATCCAACCTACATACCCATTACAGATTCTTCTGATGCCCCTTTCCACATGAAGATCCAAGATTCTAACGATCTTTTGTCACCTATTGTATCAAGTCTACCATTGAATGACAAGGTGAGGAGGAGGGGAAAAAGCTGAGCCATTCTGAACAACAAGTTCTGATTGAAATCTTGGATTTCTTGTCCGGCGGGGAGGTGTAGGGGGTCCTGCACCCAAATTGGCCCCACTACACTGGTCCCTGCCCTGTATGGAAGGGGATGGTACGGTGAGGTAGGCAAGCCCACTAGCTTTGGAAGCACACAGACATGGGCTTAACTTCCAGACCTGGAGTGTGCCAGTTATGTAACTTCAGGCAAGTTACAAAAACCTCTCTGACCTCAGTTTCCCCATCTGTAAAATGGGGGTGATAACCTATACAGAAAGTGTTTGTGGGATTAAATGAGGTGAACCACAAAAGGGGTTTAGGACACTGACTGACCCACACCAAGTGTTCTCCCTGGAGCACTGCTCTTATTGTGACATAGAAAACTGCTGAGAAATCTGTTGTGAGGCTGCTGTAGTTCACAGAACTGAGCTCGTGAGTTTTGCGGCTCCTTGGAGGAGCAGGAAAGTGGCACACAGAATAATGATGTCCCTGGTCACTATTATCCAAAACAGCAGGTACGTGGTGGTGTGGCACTGGCAGCAACCTCAACAAATCGGAATTCTTCACATTCCTTCCCTAAAATGCTCCTCCTGTATCTTCTCTATCTCCTGCCTCAGGTCCCAAACTTGAGGCCTCTCTTTCTCGACACCCCAAATCCACACCATGGGAAAACCTCTCTTGCCTGGGTTATCACGCTGCCTCCTAAGAGGTCTTCTTGCACCCACCCTTGCCCATTTCTTTTTATTCTCCATCCGCTGGGGGCTCTCATATTCCAAACCACCTAATGGTGTCCAATCACACTCAGATTAGAAACCAGCATACTGAGGGTATGCCTTGTAGGCTTCAAAGATCTGCCCTGACCCATCTCTGCTATGCCCACCCCGCCCACCCCT